GTTACCATTACAAACACCAACAGATTAACACTATTTAGGAATAATCAACGGCAACGGAAAGAATCATATAAAATAAATATACAATGTGGATAAAATGCAGAAAGTTTCTGAATGTTTAAATTGGGTGGAACATACAATTACCTACCCTGCCTTAATGAGTTAATTGTTTTGATTAAATCAGCAAAGAGTGCACCTAGGAGATGGCTATGCAGCTGCTGTAACAAAACCATTACCAGACACAAGGCGAATGTATGGTGACATGAAATTGTAACTTATTCAGTGGCAGAGAAAAAGATATGCCAGCAAAATTAAGAAAGAGTAGTACTATCTTCTGGTATGTGATACCGTGTGGCCTTGTAAAAAAAATCTGACCCATGTTTTGAAGGAACATACTGCCACCATATTCAGGGTCAAAGAATAATACATACAAAAACAAGAATAACTTGGCTTACCCTTCAACCATGAATACGCCCCTCTGAAAGGAACTTCTACCAGATTACACAGCGTCAGAATACAGTACCACCACGAAAACTCAAAATTCAACAGAGAATTGAGTCAGGTTATGAAGAGGTGGATTTCAAAGCACTTTATTTAATAACATTTGGGGGGGGGGGCAAAAGCAGAACTAGATGTGCGTCTTACTGCTTGTAGCTGACGATGATCTTCAACCCATGACACACTCACACACCTGTAACTTCGGCTCTAACTCTCCCAACAGTATATATAAATGAACTGTGGGTTCAAAGTAAGCTCACAGATGCCCCTCCCCCCACACCCAAATGTATTTCTCTGCAGTATTACCCCATCTGCACCTGCAACAGCTGCACACACTGTGCATGTTTCTGAACACAGATGTTCTATTGTCCAATTAAGAATAGTAACACACTGTTTCACAAACCTACTTATCATGATGCAACTTAACACAGAATAATGAACCAAAAGAACTAAGTTATCTAGTTCATGTATTTTGTAAAAATGTAATACCTTCCATCAGTTCCCTGTTGCCTACTGTGAACTGAATACAGAATGCACACATATATTATAAAATTCACTCCGAATTGTGGTAGCCATGGCTGTTAACGCAATGTGCAAGTACCACAGTAGAGATTTTGGGTGCAATTCAAATCCTCATTCCCAGTCTTTTCTTAAATACATGAGTAGACTTCAATTTCATAATCTGAATATTATCTGTTCTTCAAAGTTTTGCTACTGCATACTGTCATACTGACAAGGAAAGCAACCACATACATGTATCCAAAGTCAAAAATGGGCACTTCTGCTTGGATGCTTAACACAAATTTAGCAAATTAACACAAGATTACAGCTTTACTGCAACACACATGAGAATTCAGGAAAACCCATATTACCATTAACTTCTATGTAATCTTCCCCTTAAGTCACAGTAAAACTTAATTTTTTTTTTCAGTTTTAACCATCTAAAGCACATTGGTAAGTATATGCACCACATGTTTTAACATAAAAAAATGCACTTTGCCACAGTGCATTTGTTTCTAAAGATTCTCACAACAAGCAACTATTTCTCTAAAGAGAACTGCCTCTGGAGACAGAGGGTGACTTCTGCAAGGGAGGAAATGAATTCAGATGAACTTCAGGATGTAAAAGGGTTGAACTTGAATCAATAACAAGGACATGCCAAATGCCAACTAACTGGAACAAGAAGGAGATATATGAGGGGACTGTTTTCATGGCATATACACTTTTTGCTGGACCCAACTTCTGACATTGTACACAACTGTAATTCAAAAACTCTGAAGTATTATGTTGCCTTATGTACTTATTCATGGAGCTGAGCTCTTCTGGAAGAGCTGCCAATTCTGCAGCTACTCAAGAATTTCCCAGCATTTTATGGAACCCGAAGGTTCATTACTCTGTTCACAAGAGACCTCCACTGGTCCCTATCCTGAGCCAGATCAATCCAATCAATACTATCCCATCCTATCTCTCTAAGATCCATTTTAATATTGGCCACCCACTTACGCCTTGGTCCTCCCTGTGGTCTTTCCTTCTGGCTTCCCCACCAATATCCTATACACATTCGTCTCCCCCATTCATGCTACATGCCCTGCCCACCTCATCCTCCTTCACTTGATCATTCTTATTATACTTGGAGAAGAGTACACGTTATGAAGCTCCTCATTATGCAGTTTTCTCCAACCTCCTGTCACTTCATCTCTTTCAGTCCAAATATTCTCCTCAACATCCTGTTCTCAAACACCTTCAGTCTGTGTTCCTCTCTTAATGTCAGAGACCAAGTTTCACACCCATACAGAACCACAGGCAAAATTATAGTTTTGTATATCCTAATTTTTATGTTTTTGGAAAGCACACAAGAAGACAAAAGGTTCTGGACTGAATTACCCGAGTTCAATCTCCTCTTAATTTCCTCCTGAATCAGGTTTCGATCTGTTATCGTTGTTCCCGAATATCTGAATTGTGCCACATTTTCAACTATGCTGCCTTCCCATTCAAATTTTTTAATACCTCTGATTCAAATTTATTGAGAGCTTCTTATAAAAGGTAAAGCTGTCTCTCTGCTTAACTATGAGGGGCGGTAAAGAGTACCCGGAATGGTGGTATAGCACTCTAATGGTAGGACACACGCCACCGTTTACCTAATCACCTTCAAAGTACAAGCCTTGCGCGCACACACACTTGCTCCATCGATCCTACACCACTGTTGGAAGCAGCGGTGGAAGGCTTCTTTTGGAATCTTCCGGAGCTCAGCCATCGCATTCGATTTGATGTCCTCCATGGTTGCGAAACATGACCCCCTGAGGCCCATTTTCAGAGTAGGGAGCAGCCAAAAGTCACTTGGAGAGAGATCCAGAGAGTACGGTGATTGAGAGATGACAAGAATGTTTTTCTTGGTGCACAAGCAATGTGTGGCTCAGTGCATTATCATCATGCAGAAACCACTGTCTGTGCCACTCGTCACACCGCTTCCTCCAAACTGCATCGCGCAACCTCTGCAAAACTTGCATGTAGAAATGGCCAGTAACAGTCTGTCCAGGTGGTACGAACTCATGGTGCACCAAACCGTCGATGTCAAAGAATGCAATGAGCATCACTTTGCGTTTGGATCCGATGAGGCGATTTTTTTGGCCAGGGAGAAGACGCTGTGTGCCACTCCGACTGCATCTTCGTCTCTGGGTCGTAGGCGAACACCAATGACAATCTTTTTGAGAAACGTCGGGTCCTGCATACTTTTGTCAAACAGATCGCCAGTGTCCATCATGCAACATTCCATCTGATCTGTGGTCAGCTGCCTCAGAACAAACTTCGCACTGACGTGTCTCATCTTCAAATCATGGGACAAAATGGCATGAATAGATCCATGAGAGATACCAACTTCTTGCTCCAACTCTGCAATGGTCAATCGTCGATCACATCGAATCAGTTGTGACACTTTTCCAATCATTTCTTTGGTTCTGGATGTCAAAGGTCTCCTGCTGCGCTGGTCATCCTCTAACGTCTCCTGCCCATTCTTAAACCGAGAAAACCAGTCGTAAACTGTGTATTTCTTTGGTGCAGTATCACTGTAAACTTGCTGCAGGGCTCATTGCGTCTCTGAAGCAGATTTTCCCAATTTGCACATGAACTTGATGTTCGCACGCTGTTTGAACAGCGACATTGCGCCAAATGACCAACACTCACGTCTAATTCAAACGGAACAGTAACGACACTGCACATTAAAACCTGTCCAGACCTGTTGTGCCTGTGAGCAGACATGCTGAGCTCCCCACCACAACAGTGTGTGCGCTATCTTATCGTTCATTCTCCGTCTGCATGGGAATTCCGGGAACTTTTTGACTGCCCTACATATTACTTAATTAAGCACTATGGCATGAAGGAATATGGGAGGGGTGGATGTATAGATCCATGTATTCTTGACACCAGCACTAGCTGGAAGTTAGCGATCAGCTTCACATCCTGGCTGCTTTACTCCTGGTGGGCCCCAGGACAAGAAGAGCTGCTTATAACAAATTTATATACACAAACCAGTAAACATTAGAACATAAGTAATGTTATGTTCATGTTCCCTTTACAACTCTGCAGCTTGCTCAATGCACTCACGCCTCATATGTTGTCATTTCATTTGCGGCCTCAAGAACATGCCCACTGTGGCTGTCATGAGCCTCACACGATATCATACGCTTCCTGACAATGAACTTCGCCAAGCCAAATGACTCAAATGTTCACCCATCTGACTCACACAACTGGGAGAAAACTGGTTCAAATCTTGGCCCAGAAACCACCTGCTCTGCCCGACGTTTATTGCTTTCCTCACTCTCTAGGGACATGTGACAGGCACTACCCCAAGTTGAGGCACAATCCTCTTCCTCACTCCCTAGGGACAAGTGACAGGCACTACCCCAAGTTGAGGCACAATACTCTTCCTCACTCCCTAGGGACAAGTGACAGGTACTACCTCAAGCTGAGGCACAATGCTCTTCTTCACTCCCTAGGGACAAGTGACACAATACTGCCTCGAGATGAGCCACGATGCTCCCATTTGCATTCCTCCTCATACTGCAGTATTCACTAACCTTTCTGTCATACGAAACCGTCTGCTTCTGTTCAACATGTCCCTTGTCAACAGTACGTGTAGTGGACTTCAGACAGTCAGCTAAACAAGAATTGTAGGTGGTGTACAGAATAATAGGTCCTCACTTATAGTGCATCCCCCACCCCACTACTGCTTGCCCAGGTCTCAAAAACAGCCTGCACATAAAACATACAGGTTAAATTTCTGTTTCAATGGGCAGCACTGTAATGACCAGGTTAATGAAACAAATTAACATACAGCCTGTATCCCAGCACTTTGTGATTATTCCAGTTTAGTTTCAAGTATGATGTACACACACAGCTGTTAACAGTATCAAAACGAACATTTCTACATGTCAGAAGACAGCTCACTCCCGACTATGATGATGATGGGTTAAGTAAGTGCATAAATATAATTGTTACAAAGGACTTACCGTATGCGGTGAGAGTGAGCTTTTGGGTTTCGAAGCCGCTACATAGGCAAGGTACTGAATGACCTTCTTGGTGTTCTCAGTCTTCCCAGCTCCCGACTCCCCTGTGCACAGGATGGACTGGTCCTCTCTATCTAATAACAAGAATTCAGAATTCAAGTGATCAACATCACACTTGAATTACAGAAGGAGTGTTGGAATTACATCACAAATTCAAAACGTCTTCCTTCGCGCAAACATTAAACCTTTAAAGCATGACTCTCCCTATATAATGGGGGGGGACAAACAAAGGGGAGAAAAAAAATGCTATTTGCCCTCAAAATATGTATTTGTGTATTTCTTTGAGTGACTGAAGCCCTGATCAGCAAGCATTCCAGTACCAAGACTGGTAACACACCGTACACTGGTGTAGATTAAATGTCTCCACTGTTATTATAATTGGGGATAAAATTCTGTTGATGAACTCTGTTTGATTTTCCATACACTTTTTCTGGAACTCTAAATACTATACAGTGGCGCCCCCCGCTGTCGCTGATACTTTTTACATGTGCATGAACAGTATTTCATGCCCACATTCACCACAAGAACCACAGCACTTCCTCACGAATCCAGGGGAAATCCAAGAAACACAGAACACAGTGACACAATGCTGGAACTATGCAAGGAAGGCCTAAGGGAAGGAACTAACAGGAAGCTGCAGAAAGTTGCTTATTGAGAAGCTTCACAATTTGTACAGGAAATGTTCGTTTTATGCGAGTCTGATAAATGCAACCAGACTAATTTAAATTAATTAATAGCCCTCAATTTAATGCAAACTGCTTTCTGACCAAGCAAAGTGGGTAGAAGAGGAACGAGATTATTGTGGGGGTTTTTGGAGAATGCCAGGGAAGAAGGGAAAAAATTACCTTCAATTTATGAGATTTCACCACCCTCAACTTTTTTTTTAACACAAATTTCCCTTCAAAATTATGTTCAATTTATGAGATTTCACCACCCTCAACTTTTTTTGAACACAAATTTCCCCTCAAAATTATGTTCAATTTATGAAATTTAACCACCCTCAACTTTTTTTTTGAACACAAATTTCCCTTCAATCAAAGAATATCTGCACTGTCCACATCCCAGTTTTCAAAAGTGCAACATTTCAGAAACTGGCTGTCTCCTTCAGATAACTGGGCTGGACACATTTACAGAGTTAGTCTCAGACCCAGGAATCTGAACCTGTTTCACAAACTGTGGCCTGAAGAAAACTGGGACAACGGACAACACTCAAAATATTTGAAAGTGATCGCTTAACAACAGCACGAGCACTGAGTGATGCATGTAACAGGCAGAGGCGAGGCAGCTGGACAACATTTCAGGCAAGGAGTGGCCTGCGTTTCCAAGGTCTGGCACATCATACAGCACATAGCAATTCCAAGGCTGAAGAGCCAAGATCACGGCCAACACAGGGCACAGCCCAGCAAAGCAGCAGTGGTCTGAATGCATGGGGTGACAAAGTTATACCCATCTAAGCAGGGTCCCTCACCATGTCCACCACAAAAAGCTGGTTGGCCGGTTGTCAGCTTATGCAGTGACTGTATTCTAGTTAAGCTGTCAGGAGCTCAGGTCATGTGGTATCAAATGATAATGTTAATAATTGGACAGCATATGGAAGGAACCAGTCATGAGGTCATTACAAGTACTATCCCAGCACCTGGCTGAAGGGGCTGAAGAAAACAACGGAATCCCTGTTATGACAGCTTGTCTCTAAGCTAACATTTGAAACTGAGACTTCCTGGATAAGCAGGCGTGCCAACTTAACCTGTGACACCTACCCAAGTGTTATTCTGTCCACCACATGGCACTTGTGATGGGACTCTTATCAAGCTGAGGTTCCTGAATGAAAGGGCAAAATTATGTACGGTGAAGACGGAAAGTTCGGAGGAGCAAGCTGTCATGGCCAACTTCAAGCTCTTACTCTGAGCAGAAGAAGAAATCAGAGGGTATTCAGTGATGCTGTAACAACTGCAGTACTTACTGAGCAGTGAGTGAAACGAGGATAATCTCATTTGGTGATCTCTAGGGGTAATGGAAGATCACTGGCTACAGATACTGAGGTCCCGGGTTCGACTCCCGGCGCTACCAGATTTTCTGAGAAGCAGTGGGTCTGGAACAATCCACTCAGCCTCGTGAGGATAACTGCGGAGCTATTCCAAGGAAATGGTGGCTCTGGTCTAGAAAACCGAAATTAACGGCCGTGGGGATCCGTTGCGCTGACCATGCGACACCCTCTATCTGCTGAGGTTGGCACTAATTTTGCCGACAAGCGGCGGTCGCTCGGTCGGTATAGTTCTCTTGCGGACTACAGGCCACGGAGTTTCTTTTGTTTTGGTAGGGAAATAGGGAAGTGGTTTGGACTGGGGAAAAGAATAAAAATTCATCTCAGTTGGACTCCCAAGTGACAGTTCAACCAGAGTACAAGTCAGAAGAAGTGTTGCTACCAGAGCCAACTTTCTTTGTATAACTCGGCCACGGGACTGCCGTGACTCAGAACACCATACAAATAGCAGGTGTCACAGAACCTTGCAACAGCGTCCCATATAAAAACTAACGCAGCAGCCTCTTCACCTCACTGGAACATCTTACAGCATCAGCCAGTCGGAGCTTGTGTTACACATAAAGAGATCTACCTACCAGATTTGGAAGCAGCAGAAAATCTATTTCAGTTTCAGGCTTCCGCATATTCTCTCTGCCTATCTCGCCCATATGCTAGGCTTCCAAACGTGGGCATGTATGCCTTTGTAAGGCCAGGTCAGCTTCCTGTTATGGAGCTCCATATGCCTTAAGTCAGGCAGGCTGTCCTGAATGTGTACCAAGCCTGGACCATTCATGACCTCAGGACGCTATTTGCATGATGAGGTCCATCTACCTGACTCAGTTAACTATGAGAAGATCAGCCCACATGAACTGCTTCATGAACCAGCAGGACACCTGTGCTCTGCAGTTGTCGTTTTCTTCTCCCTTCTTTTCCACAAGAGAAAGCACAAACCGTACCGATTCTCACAGTCTCTTCGCTTGCGGATTTCTTATTTTTCCTTCTACCCTGAAGATGGAGGCGATACGTTCCACATCTACACAGTGCTACATCCCAGAAGACTGCTTTCTTCATGGTCACCGCCATGAAAACATCAAATCTTACAGTTTTTCATGGTTTTCCTAATTACTCCCTCCAGGAACGTGCCAGGACAGCCCCTCAGCTGGGGCCATGAATACTTCCCCCCACCACCAACACTACACGTGAGCAGAACTTTCGTGATGGGTGAACTGAGATCTGCTGACCCCTGTATATGCACGCACGCACGCACACATTACTTTACAATGCAGGTAAGCAAACCAACCAACTCCATTCAGTAGAGCCATTCTTGAAAAACTTGTGGTTGCACAGCTATTCAAGAAATTCCCTGCCTTCTGCGGAACCCAAAGTTTCATCACTGTAGATCTTCTGGGATATGGCACAACGCAATCCAGTGAATGTAAACAAATGTTCATGGAGGAACGAACATACCGCCTCCATCTTCAAGGTCAAAGAGTAAGTCAAGCAAGCGGCAAGCAGAGCAAATGGCTTCTTCCTGCTTGGCTTACTCTTCCTAATGAAGTGGATATATGCAGACTCCTTCCATGCCAAGTTCAAACCCCCATTCCCAGTCCCCACTGCGTATCCTGTGTCACAATCACCAAGAGAATGCACAACATTTTGTAATATCCCAGCTGTTTGTTAGCTCCCACCCTTCCTAAGCTGGAGGACCACTCCTTGTTGGCCTCAATACACTGCTGCTAACCTGAGGACACACCACGCAGTGGTGACAAAGGGTACAGCAAGATGTTTTTACATGCATAACATGGGCTTCCTGAAATGTTCAGCCCCCGAATTTCAACCTGAAATAAGTGCACAGGCTCTGAAGTACAGTCACGCTGATCCTAATTCAGCAGCGGGCAACAGGGTACTACAGGGAAACGTTAGCAATCGAGAAAAAATTATACCAGAGAAATATAAGTGGACAATCTAACACCAAAGAAAACCACTGCTTCCTGGACAACAAAAGCTGTCCCTCTGCTTAATTAGTGAAGCACTACGCCATGACCACATATGGTGGAGTGGAGGTACAGCTCCACCTCTCTTGACCTTGTCACTAAATGGGAGCGATCAGCTTCACGTCCCTGCCACTTTACCCCAGGTACCCACTGGATAGGAGGCTGGGTGGGCCCCAGAGTCGGTCTGGACACTGTGGACATGCTGATGGCAAAGCGAACTCACCTTGCAACATGGAACGGTAGGCGGTGTCGGTGATGGCGAACACATGTGGCGGCACTTCGTGTCGCTTGATGCCTTTGTATCTCTCCATGATCTTCTCCGTGTAGATAGGCAGCCGTTTGTACGGGTTCACCACGACACAGAAGAGCCCAGAGTACGTCTGCAGAGAGAAGGCATGCGCACAAATTAGTTACCATAAGCGAACGAATCGGCAAGATCAACCTATAAGAGAACTGTACACTGTCCAAGCCCAAGTCGCTTAATGACGGCTTTACAGTGCCACGCGGTAGGATGACTCATGAATAAAGAACTGGGAAGGACTGTGGCAGCAAGCAGTCATAACCTAATTTCAAACATCCCAGCATTTGCTTGGAGTGACTGAAGACGATCATAAAGGGCCTCAATCAGGACACCACGTTTACAAGCACAGGTCTGAAGCCAAAAACAAACTCCGTGGCCTGTAGTCCGCAAGCGAACTACACCGACCGAGCGACCGCCGCTTGTCGGCGAAGTTACTGCCATCTTTAGCGGATAGTGTCACGTGGTCGGCGCAACGGTTCCCAACGGCCGTTAATATCGGTTTTGTAGACCGGAGCCGCTATTTCCTTCAAATAGCCCCTCAATTACTCCCACGAGACTGAGTTGGCCACGTTCCAGACTTCTCAAAAAAATCTGGTAGCGCCGGGAATCGAACCTAGGACCTCTGACGACTAGACTACACAGACGGTCATGACTGCCAAAATATGAAGGACTGCTACCTCACCTGACACGAAGCTGCAGAAAGTGATCTTGCAGACAAAGCATTCGGCACAATAAAACAACAGACTTGCATGTGATGTAATATTTTTATGGTGTTTAAATAGCAGAAAGGGAACGTAGTTATACTGCGGGAAGAAACTGCCAAGATTTTGAAAATGAGACGCCTTAGAAGGATCATAATGGGGAAGTATAATATTAAAGTGGACGTTTGAGAAACAGGTAATGACCGAACAGAACTGGATTGGTGGTGTCCACTATTCATATTCCTACTGCCAGAGAGTGTAACTTGAACTTTTTCATCTTCCATTTTAGATGCAAAATGCGTCAAATGCATTACGCATGCTTTACGAAGTTCTTACATCTGGTGACAATGCCGTGGCCGCCATTCCGCATGTTTCAGAAAGCGAACATCTGACAGACAAGTTCTCACGAAAAATGGCCAATTACAAAGTTGGAGGGGGGGGCCATTGCTCTGTTTCTGACAGCCCACAGAAGTTGCGTGAAGAGAGCAGTGCGTGCCATCAAGAGAAGAAATGAGAGGAGTGAACATAACAGAAAAACACAGCTCTCCCGTATTAACATGGTCCAGTGGGTGCACCATCTACACGACCACCAATCCCTTAATCCAATTGCTACATTGTGCTGCTTTTTAGGAGAGGACCTCTACATGGTCACAGGGATCTGACCCAAACACCAAAAAGAGAAACAAAGTTCTCTGTAACATTACAATCATCTGTAACGTGACACCATGCAGTCTGGTATCAGACGCCAACGTTTTACTCGAACCCGGTGCCTCAATCTGCAGAGCAGAATATCACCACGGAAACGCGAAGCTGGGTCACTATGTCGCTGTGTTTCGGTCTCCCCGTTTACACCCTGTGGAAGTAGTTTCGGGGTCGTCGCTCAATGAACATGCTGACGCCACTTAACAAGGAATCCATTCTGAGCTCTACAAGAATCCAGTATCTTCTAGGGTGAAGAAGGCTGTGTACCCCGCTTGCAGTCTGTTTCTGACGTTCTGTACAACTGATGTTCCCTCTGAGAGTGCTCTTTAAACGTTCCTACATTCGTAAAACCGTTCTTTTGGATGCACAGGTGTCCGGGTGAAAGTTATCCAAAATAAAATAATTACATCTCAGAAAGCATTCATTATACAAATTTATGAGTTATGCCATTACAAATGGAAACTATCAACGTTTTTTTTTTCTGAGTATTTCAATGTGGGCTCCCTTGGTGGCACGACAAATATCCAGACGATCCAACATGTTTGGTGTTACCATAGCCACAGCGTCCCTTATGCGGGCTTTCAGGTGTTGAAGCTCGTTGATCATAACCTGGCAGACAATGTTCTTCACATAACCCCACAAGAAAAATCCAATGGGGTTAAATCTGGCGACCTAGGAGGCCAAGCGATTGGTCCACCTCTGCTGATCCATTTCTCTGTTCAGGTGATTCCTAAGATGGTAGCAAAAACGTGGCGGCGCTTGCGCGTAAGCAGGGCATGGGCACCTTTCATCCGGACACCGATATATTCCAGCAAGAGCAGAGGGGTCGGCTCGACGGGCTGACAACTGGACTTATCATCCTCGAGCCTCTCGCGATATCTGTGCTCTGTCCTCAGTGATATGACGGCGTACAGTCTGGTAGACCATTCCTCCGAAACATTCTAATAAAGTACCGGATGTATCCAAGAAGAAAAGTTTCACGAGGAAACCAGATTCCTCTTGGGGCACGCGGTAGCGTAGTTGGTTGAGGCATATGCTACAAGCCGGAAGGTCGCGGGATCGAATCCCGATGAGATCATTGGATTTTTTCAACTGACCTAATCCTTCCAGCCGCTCTATGGCCCTGGGGTCGATTCAGCCTCTAACAGGAATGAGTACCAGGAATATTCTTGGGGGTAAAGGACGGCTGGCGTGTAGGGCTGACAACCTCACCGCCATCTGTGAGCCGATTGTCTAGAAAATGTGGGAACCTCAACATCTCACAACCCTATGGGCCTCCACGCCCTTTCACAGGGATGGCTTTACTTTACTTACTACATTCCTTTTGAAGTCTGAGAATAAGCAACCTCAGATTTTGTACAGCACAAACCCTCTGTTGCCACAACTTCCTACACAGGATATCCTCCCATACACGCACACAGTGTTATCGCTAAACACTCCACGCGCTGGAGTTGGAAAGGTAACATTCCTTCGCATTTCCGAGGTTCCAAATTCAAATTTCAGCCGAGATGAGGTATCACGACTGGTTATTATTCGTGGTTATTCTCAGTCCCTGCAGGATTATCCCAAAACTGCAACATGATCACGTGTTTTCACGTGATTTACTCGCAAAGCATCCTACCACTTGACGCCATATAGTCCCAGGTAGTGACAGCATCGTTAAACAAACAAAGAAGGGCGTGAGGAAACCAATCACACACTACGCCCCTCGCACTTAACATAACTGGTATGGCAAAGCAAGGCAAAGTTATCCCTTTGCCTAAATCAAGCATACAGCTCCATACTTAACCTCAGCACAAGGTCGTGATGTCACCTTCACGCCCCTCTTGCCTTAACCCCAATACTCACTGCATATGAGGCTAGGATGGACCCAGAGACGATCTGAAAGGTGTTGTGGGGGGTGGGACTTTGCTCTTGCCGGGAAGAGAACCACGACCGTCCAACCCTTAACCTATGCTAACGGATGGGTCAAAATGTCAACCAACGCTGCAATATTCGGATCCAGCCGACAAACGGGTGTGTGCGCGCGCGCAGAGAGAGGTAGTGTACTCACAATTATACAGGTTTGAACTGTCTTGGTTCGATTCCCGGCAAGGTCAACCACGGCATCCAGACCGGATCTGCGGTACACCCAGCCTCCTTCCTATCCAGTGGTGGTGGGTACAGGTCTCTTCGTCTGGGGTTAATGCGGCCGGGGCATGAAGATTACTACTCGCCTCCATTTCTAACGGTTAGCTATAAATGCATGGAGCTACACATACACTTCGACAAACGTCTTCATGAGGTGGTGCTTAATTAAGCACATGGACAACTTTCCGTCTTTTGACCGCTATTCAAAGCATGTGTGTGACGGTTAGAATCTTCACCGGTAGGTGGCGACACCGTCATGATGGTGGTCCACGTGTCCCAGTCAAGTGAATCATCCCTCAATACAACTACCGCGCCTCCCCCATAAAGTGACTCACAGTTCAAAGCCAGTGGAACTTACGCATATATTTTAAAATAAAATCCAACACCTGTGGGGTACGCACGAAGTGCACAAAAAAAAAAGGTCATTCACCACGTCATCACATGGGTATCTCACGTGACACAGCAGCGCAGATTTTGGCCACCACACACCTGCTTTGAGGACTGTGGAACCGACAGGGCCCTGGTTGCATACTTAACCCCTTTCATGCAATGCACGAGCTGCTTAACACACAGTGCGCAGACGCTGTACACCAAATTTACGTTTACGTTTACCCGTGACGTCAGTGTTGAAACTGCTCAGCTGGCCAATGCGTGTTGCTGTCAAGCCATATCTGGGGAGGCGAAGACCAGATTTCTGTTACTGTCATAGAGCTGCAGGTTTGTTCGTGTAGGGCGCCCTAACTGACGAGAGGACGGGTCTGTCGTTACAACTGTTCCTGGCCTTCACCAGCGCAGTCATATTTACCGCGGTCAAAATCAATTCTATTTTTAATGTTACAGCTGGTGGTACACTCGGTAATAATCAATGCGCTTCAAACCTGTTAAGAATAGATTTTGCCTAGCCTCGGGGGCAATACAGACACGTGCCTACACAACCCTGCACTTTCAGCAAATGAGGGATACTCGCTGGTTCGTTAGCTGTCTGCATACGCCGTACAGAAGGGGCAAATACTGATCCATCTGAAAGCTTTAATGAGCATAACAAAACGAAGCACAGTTTTCTTCAGAAGCTAACAGTCGCTCAGCAGGTAAGGAGATTCCAAGAAATCACGGGATCCAGAAGTTCATTACCATGTTCACAAGAGCCTGCCAACAAGATAAATCCAGTTTACACCCCTCAAATCCCATTACTTTAAGGTCCGTTTTAATACTGTCCACACGTGTATGACTAAGCTGTGTTGGATTTCTACCAGAACTTCCTTTCGGTGCCCCCATTACTCGCTGCGTGCTACATGCCCTGCACACCTCATCCTCAATTTGATCTCCCTACAGATGTTTTCTCTGGGTATGAAAATTATGAAGCGTCTCACTGTGCTACAGCCAACATGCCAGAATGTGACGCGCTCAGTCCATCATAGCCTCAAGATTTCCAATTCGGGAGCCCCAGTTTGATACCGTCTTACACATCACACGTAACGGGCCAACGGGCGAGGCACGAACTAGAACGGAAATTTCATAGAAATCCGCCCAACTGTGAGACGACACG